TAATCGTTGAGCTTGTCGATATCATATTGTATATATTTCGACGCAGTCTTGGAGGCTTTCAAGTATACGATGCATCTTTATGTCATCTGCGTAAAGAATAAATTGACAATGGCTGAAACATCTCCCGACTTATCCCCAATTGAGCACGTGTGGGATATGATGGGTAGGAGATTGCTCAATTTGCAACGTCCTCCTCAGACTCTAGAAGCACTTCGAGAGGAGTTGGTGGTTGCCTGGAATGAGATACCACAGGAGGACATTCACCACCTGATCAGAAGCAGCCTAGGCGCGTTGGAGAATGCGTAGCACATCAGGGTGCATCCACTCATTATTAAAGGTCAAAAGGCTTTAAAGCAGTGCAATCATTTTGAAATTTTTATCATTCACTAATTATGCTTCATTAAGTACTTATACAAAATTTTACTAAAATAAAACCATTTAAACTGGGTGTTCGGATTTATATGTCACTTAGTATATTTCGACGCAGTTTTGGAGGCTTTCAAGTATACGATGCATCTTTATGTCATCTGCGTAAGGAAGAAATTGACAATGGCTGAAACATTGCACATCATGTCTGTAGATTAAGAAGGATAGTGGGCCTAGGTGGCTACCCTGAGGAACTCCCGATGATGGAGTAACGACTCTGCAATCTCAGCAAGTTTTGTTACTAGCAACTTATGATTAACTCACTCAAAATCCTAGACGAAGTGGGCATAAATAGACTTGGAAATTTCATCGGAAACGAAGTTAGGAAAACAAAGAAAAGTGGTATCCAGGCACCTGTCCGGAAAAAATCCATGGTGTTGCTGAATGATTACGTTTATTACATCAAAAACTATTTCGCTATGAACTAGCTTTTCGAACATCTTCGAGAATATGCACAGCTTGCCGATAGCCCTGTATTTGTGTGCCATGTACCTGTCTCCACCTTTAAAAATAGGTGTAAAGGAAGGTTCCTTTCAACCTTCGGAGGATGTGTTAAATTCTAAAGAGGTGTCGCGAATCAAAGTAACAGGTTTGTATAAATTCATTCATTCGTTTATGTAAATTTTTCACAATCTTCCCCTCACTCTTACTTGAAAAACATCATCAGGGCGACATTAGCATTGAGTGGCTACTCAGATTATACGTTACAGGGTGACTGCGAAGTTGAGTCATTTATTTTAACAGTGAGTAGATCTGATCAAAAGAAATGTTTTTTTCCTTTACCATTTTTCTGGTAAAATTAAAGTAACAAAGTTATAGACCTTTGGAAGTTTGAGTACCGCCCTGTCTCAAAAATAATATTACGTGCTCGTGTTTGGCAACAACGGATATAATCCGCCTTATCGGTTCATCGCAACAAAAAAGCGAAAGAATTTGGAACGATGTTTTTACAATTATTTTATTCAGTTGTAAACAGTCAGTGTCAGTCGGTTACGCGTGAGTGAATAGTGGTGTCTGTTGCGTGGCTCAAACGAAATAAAAAATGGCACATGTTAATGCGGATCGGTTTCCCAATCGAGTGCAACCAACCCCTCGTGCCTTTGTTAATGTAGTACAACGGGCTCGTGAATCAGGTGACTTAAGACCTCACAGGGGACGGCATGCCGGTGCTCCAAGACCTCACGATCAAATACAGGTCCGCACTGAAATACTTGTCGGGAGGATACTTTATAAAACAAGGTAAAATTTTTTTTTTATTTTTTTTTATTTTTACACACATATTTTGGTTTATCTTCCTTCTACAATCATTATCTGAAAATTAATGACTCAACTTCAAAGTCACCCTGTATATGTGATCTAGCTGATTCCTAGCAACCAAAACTACTAGTATATTTAGGTCTTTGAACCCAACACCGTATAGCTATTATTTGTAATTGAGTTTCCTTTCTTGCTTGCTCATTTTTGTATCTTTCTTAGGGGTGTACGTTTTTCTTTTTGGTCGCGGCAATCACACTTGGGCGAGAGCAACATTTCTAAAGTCTCAACCATCAGCTTAAAAATTTCATTAAAATATATCGTTGCTTAAAATATTTGATTCGTCAACAAATTACTTAAAATACTTAAGACTATACGTAGCAAAAGCTAAGTTAAAGATATAGCAACGTATCGATGATGATTGAACTGTTCGGTATTCGTTGGACTAGAATACATAAAAATAGTCTTTAGTAGATGAGCAGGTACTGCTATTGACATGAGGTTTTCTCAACAAACCATGTCAGAAGAGATTTGAACACTGAAAGGTCACAACAAACGACTTCCTGACATGTTAATGACAATAACAGCAAGGATAATAAACCATATATTGCCCAACATCGCAGTTACAATGGTTAAATTTTTACAGTCCGTTTTTGCCATGAATTAACAAAGAAAAAGAAATAATAATATCATTTAAGTAGAGAAAAAGAAGTAAGAAAAAAAGCAGATTAATGAGGATTAGCAAAAAGTATATAGTTATAGCATGTAGCATTCAGATAGAAATAGAGATAAAATAGGATAAGGGAGAAGAGAAAGTCAAAGACGTGAGGGTTTAGTATTTTTTTATTCTTGAACTCCAGAAAATATCACAATAGTTCCCAATCCTGTTTGCATTACAGCACGTAAAGCTAATTGGTGACGTCTATAGAAGATTAGTCTGTGTTCTTCTACAATAAAAGGTTACGTTTCACCTGGAAGTCAATCTAGGTACTAGAAGATCAATTTCCGACAGTAAAACAGGAACAGTCAATGATGCCGTGTATGAACTTGTGTAAGAATATGACCGACACCTCTCTGAGCTTTTTCGAGGAGGGTGCACCGAATCCATTTAACAATAGGAGATAATCATGTCCTCTAGGATGAAAGATGCTCACCATACACCAAATACGGATGTGCGTCTGATTCTATATGAGTAGTCAAGATAGGAGCAGTGCACGACTTCAAATCACTGCGTCTTTAAGCAGTGATAACATCCTAGTCTTTCTTCATAGGGGAAGCTAGCACTAGTGAGCATCTGCGTCTGGAGGCTATTAATTAGTTAAGGTACATTATTGTATCATATAAGCATCAACTAACTGGCCAACGTGAGAAGAGCCATCAAAATCGATATAGTCTTGGCGTTTTCTAATTTTGTTGCGAGAACTGAGCGTGCCCTTGCGCATAACCCCAATCAATTTTGGTCCTTTGTTAACTTGCGCAGCAACAGATCAGGCATACCCAACAATATGCATTTGGAAAATCAGGAGGTCAGGAATCCACAGGAAATTGTTGATACAGAAAATATATCGTATCTCCCTATAGTGACTATTAATGTGGTGCATGTACGAAATGCAATAAAACCGTTAAAGCCTAAATGTTCCACTGGCTTGGATTACATACCTTCATTTTTTCTAAAAGACTGTGCGAGTGTTCTTGCTGAGCCTTTGACATATCTTTTCAGTTTGTCCTTGAAATCTGCCAACTTTCCTAGAAAATGGAAATTGTCTAAAATAACACCTGTTTTTGAGAAAGGCGATCGATCGCAGGTAGAGAATTACAGGGCTATTGTTATTTTAAGTAATACTGCCAACATTTTTGAGTTTGTTCTATTTGATATTCTGTTCTCTCATGTAAGTCGGTCAATATCGACGAGTCAACATGGTTTCTATAAGGGTAGATCTACGTGTAGTAATCTGGCATGTTTCAAGCAGTACTCAGCGTCAGTTCTGGATAATGGCGGGTAATTTGATGTAGTCTATACTGACTTTTCTAAAGCTTTCGACCGTTTGGATCACGGTGTTCTACTGAAGAGGTTGTCTAATTACAGTTTAACATCTAGATACTTAGCTTTCTTTCATTCATACATCAGTGATAGACAATTATGTGTGGACTTCCGTGGATATAAGTCTGGTGCGGTTTTAGCTACATCAGGGATGCCCCAAGGTTCTGTTCTGGGTCCTCTATTATTTTTAAATTTTATCAATGATGTTTCAACAGACTTGCGTTGTGAGCACCTGCTACTCGTATATGCCGATGACCTCAAAATCTTTAATAGCGTGTGTTGCTTAGAAGACAGTTTAAGGTTACATGCTGATTTGAATGTCATTGATCACTGGTGTAAGGTAAATAACATGCACTTGAATGTCAATAAATGTACTACTATGACGTTTACACGCAGAGTGGGACCGACATGTTTTAATTTTGAAATCGGTAGCAATGTTTTGTCGTGTTAATATCGTCAAGGATTTGGGCGTATTATTCGATCTAAAGCTTTTTTCTATTGATCACATTAATGCAATAATAGCAAAAGCCTTTAAAAATCTTGGGTTTGTTATAAGAAACAGTAGACATATCAATAATACTAATACATTAATTTTACTTTTCAGTGCTTTTGAAAGATGTATTTTAGAATACTGTTCGATTATCTGGCACCCGGCCTATGATATATTCTGTAAAAACGTCGAGAGAATCCAACGTCGTTTTGTGAAATACTTATGCTTTAAAGATGATAGAGCGTACCCTGAAAGGGGTATACGCAATGACATTCTCTTAAGTAGATATAATTTGCCTAATTTAGTCAAACTTATGAATCTGTTAGCTGCCTAAATTTTTATGTAATTTGATTGCTCTTTTCTTCTAGACATGATCTCTCTACGCGTTGCCGATTTGCGTACTCGTCATGGTGATAACAATTCATTTTATTTACCTGTTCCGCGGACAAATTTATTGTTATTTTCGCCTCTCTATGTTATGTGTAATGTTTGTGACAGTGTAAGTGAACTTGATATTTTTAGTTCCACCAAAATGGATCTCAAGAGGTGTGTTTTAACAATTGGACAATTTATATTTATGTCTTTTTTATCATGTAAAGTTTAGAGCTTTGTTTTTGTATCATTTTTTGTTTTTTCCCTGCCTGTTAATTGGATCACTCTGTTCAGGCAGTGTATGGATTATTATAAATAAATAAATAAATTATCGTAGCAATTACTGTATCCCTGAGCGGTGATAGTTGTTGGTTCACAAGGAAGTCACTGACCGCAAATATCTGTTTGCTATTCTGGATGCTTGAATGTAGAACACGAATATGTGGACTGGACAAACGACTCAACAACTCATAGGAGAGCAGCATGACATAACTGACTGACATCAACATCAAGCGTAATCTCACCAAATGTATTAATGAGCTTATTCCGGAAAATAGGGAGAGGGGTAGGTAATTCTTTATTCTACTGGAAGAAGATCCAGAACCGATGCAATGCAAGAAGATCCAAGACAGCCTGAGTATATGGACAGGGGTACGTTTTTGTCGCCATTATGTCTCAGAGTTGTGTGGGGATGATAATCTAGAAAAAACGAAGCAAACCTGTGGGCAGAAACCTAAATACCGAGGCACCGCGACTGCTATAAAGGTCTCAATGACTTAAAGTGATTTTTGGTCTTCCTAAGATCAGCAGGACTGGGAAAAACCTTTTAGAAGAATTCCTGAGTGCAATGGACATTTTTTTGCAACACTACATTTTAGATGTGTTGTTATTTGTGTGCCATATGAAAAATAGATAAATGATTATACAGGCTACCTTGTTCCCAATCATAAGCTACTCGTGGACTTTGCCATTCTGGTGAGTGCTGTTTGTATGGCTTCACAGAAAACTTTACGATATCTACGAAGTGATAGCATTTGTCAGTTACCTTCACCATTCCAGCTTAAATGCGATTGTTCCCATCTCTATCCGAAAGCTCCTTCGAAATCCCCTTGGCTTATGTAAAGTTGGAGAACCGGAACGGACAAAGGATATTGCGCCGTTAGATCGTTAGTCGAGCGAGTATCCCGACTTGCGGAAGTAGCTTCATTCGTGAAAACTAACATGTACGTTGTATTTGCAGTTTTCCTCGTAGTCTTCCGATATCGGTACCTAAATTTTGAAGTAACCATCAAGGTTGTGAGCCGCTGTAACATCGCTGCCTGCAGCAGCAAGCTCAATGTCGCTTGGAAATTCGTGGATTGCGGAGTCTTCTTTATGGCCATAGCCTCTCTTGACAGCTGGAAGCAGTGTTGCCAGATCCGATTTATTTCACACTGGGGCAGTAGGCGATCAAATCGTGAATTAGTGTTGAAGATCGATACCAACAAAAAACAAGTTTCTTTAGAATTGAGATTTATGCTAATACATAAATAACATTTTATAATAATTTATTTTCATTAAAACTATATTATTTCTTGATGATATGCTAATATTTAATGGAAAATTAATGTTACTTTGGTTTGTTTCCTTACAAAAACTCGGGATGTTGAAGTTTTAGGAAAAAAATGGATATTTATCAATATTTTCAGAACCGCTTCAGATATTTCACTGATATTTAGTATGTAGTGAAAGGTAATAAAGTTGCATATTCCTCAATGCAAAAATAATTTTTATCTTTAACAGTGGCGTGCGTACGGGTAATGACTTCAATATTTTTTTAAGAAAAAAATAGTACGCCAATGGTTTTTTGCCAAATAAAAATTATTTGTGAATTCCCCGTTCAATTTGAAATGAATGATCTGTCTTGAATTGTTTTTCTTCGATGAGCTATTTTGGAGTAAAAAAATAAAAACCGTTCTATTGTCCGAAAAAATTAATAATATTGAAGAATGCAATATGGCAATAAATATCTGGTTGCTTTGGAATATGTCAATGGCTTTTGACATCTGACAAGTCTCTGTTATTCAAATCTGTTCGCTGTGACATCTTTTTCATTATTTAGTATTTACAATCTTGTTAATATACTAAGTGACATATAAATCCGAACACCCAGTTTAAATGGTTTTATTTTAATAAAAGTTGGTGAATGTATTTATCTTACTGTAAATAACAAGTGAAAACATTTTCAGCCTTATCAGTTGGACATTCCGGTTTTTATACTGCTTTTTTTAATTCACTAACGCTCTAAAAATGAATATTTCAGCCGCAGTAAAGAATCAACGTTGGCGGATTTTGGTTCTTGACATCCTTTACGATCGGTTACGATGCCTAGAGTACGGAGACCTGTACGATTTCGTCAACTTAGTGAGTTTGATAGGGGCCGTATAGTGGGACTTCGGGAAGCTGTCCTTTCTTTTCGGGCAATTGCAGTTAGAGTGCAAAGAAGTGTAGACACTGTGGTTAGGTGTTGTCAGGCATGGCTTCGAGAAGGCCGTACGCAAAGAGCAAGGGTCACTGGACGCCGCCGTAGAACAACAAACCGTGAAGATCGCCGCCTAGGATTATTGGCCTTAAGGGACCGTTTCTCCACTACCAGGTCCATTGCAAATGAATGGTTTGCAGAACACGGAAGACCTATTGGCATGCGAAGTGTTTACCGACGAATGAGAAGTTTTGGCTTGTTTTCATACCGGCCACACTGGGTCCTCCCTTTAACTCGAGAACACCGACGTAATCGCCTTAAGTGGTGCAGACAACGGTCACTCTGGGATCAGGAATGGAACAGTATTGTCTTTAGTGACGAGTCTCGATTTTGTTTAGGCATGCACGATGGTCGTGCCAGGGTTAGAAGGCGACGTGGTGAAAGGAGGAACCCACAGTTTTTTGTTGAAAGACATGTTTACCACACTGTTGGAGTTATGTTTGGGGTGCTATAGCTTATGGTTCCAGGTCACCTTTAATCTTCATCAGAGGTAACACGAACGCGCAGCGTTATATCCACGAAGTTCTAGAACCCCATCTTTTAACCTATCTTCACACCCTGGCAGATCCAACTTTCCAACAAGATAATGCCTGACCACATGTTGCAAGACTCACAATAGACTTCTTTCAACATAATGATGTCACATTGTTACCATGGCCACCAAGATCTCCCGACTTATCCCAAATTGAGCACGTGTGGGATATGATGGGTAGGAGATTGCTCAATTTGCAACGTCCTCCTCAGACTCTAGAAGCACTTCGAAAGGAGTTGGTGGTTGCCTGGAATGAGATACCACAAGAAGACATTGACCACCTGATCAGAAGCATGCCTAGGCGCGTTGGAGAATGCGTAGCACATCAGGGTGCATCCACACATTATTAAAGGTCAAAGGGCTTTAAAGCAGTGCAATCATTTTGAAATTTTTATCATTTACTTATTATGCTTCATTAAGTACTTATACAAAATTTTATTAAAATAAAACCATTTAAACTGGGTGTTCGGATTTATATGTCACTTAGTATAGTTATTCAAATGCAGAAATGGCGGAAATGCGTTACGTATATGGCCGTGCCGACGGTAATGGTGAGCAAGCCAGACGGATTTATCACCAGAGATATCCCGATCGTGCTTTGCCACATTTTCTAATATTCATCGTCGTCTTGCTGAAAGTGGTTCTGTCCGAAAAGGACCGCCTGAAGGTAGACCTCTAAATGTGAGAACACTGAAATTGAGGAAGCAGTGCTGCACGAACTCGATGAACATCCTGAAACGAGTACGAGGAAGATCGCTAGAGACTTAAATATTTGCCATCAAATTGTTTGGAGATTTTTAGTGGACTTTTCGTTATATCCTTACCATATTTTAAAGAGTATAGAAATTACTTTCTAGTGATTTTCCATGGAGTGCGACCTTTTGTCTCTGGTATCTTCAAAAAATTACACAAAATCCGCAATTTGAATCAATGATTCTGTTCACGGACGAAGCTAATTTTCCATTTTTTTCCTACAACTTCAACACTTTGTAAAGCAACATTTTTGGACCGTAGCTTATAAAGCAAAGTGACATTAATTTTTCATGTAGATTCACACCCTAAAATATCCGCATATCATTAAGGATAGGTATTTTTCACTAGATTTTGCTGCCTCTAAGATTTCCCTGTTTTTTATAACATTTTTATAAAGATCGCTTCAATTCATCCTGAGGCTGCTTTTAATTTGAATTTCTGCTTTGACATGATCGAGTGTCAACGGGTTCCGGTTAAATCCCAATGGGTCCAAAGTAAGGGTATGAAATTCGGAATCGTTGCGGTTCGGTTTACTAGTATAGAAGTAGGCTAAGTCCAAATTACATAATCAAATTTATTTCAAAGCAACCTCGTATATGCAAAAAACACATCAATAAATCTCAAATAGAAATTTTGCAAAGGCTGGTAAGCTCACTTTGTTCTTAAATAGTCCTTTAAACCGAAATCTCTATTATTTTTCACCAGCAACCTAGTCTAGTCGAAATTAAAATAAAATCGGAAAATAAGTTTCTGCTCAAAATTCATACTTCAGAAATTGACACTATAACGGTATACTATAATTTCGACGAATGCAGAACGAGTCAGTCAGAAACGTAAAATCGCTCTCAGGGTTTGGATTCGGATCTCATGGTGAGCAAAATTTCCAAAAAAAAAAATAATCGAAAACCTCAAACATCCATTACTTACAGTTAACAGAACTACCACCACTTCACTAACGGAGCACACTTGTGAAACTCACCGCCTTACCTCTTGGTACAAACGGGTATTTCGATACTACGGTATACTGATCGGATCGGCTGGTGCAGGAGAAGAGTCTCAGACCAAGTTAAAGAAATAACTTTTTTGAGATTCGCAAATTCTTGGTTGTATTTAAAAACGTTATTGATTTTTCTTTCTTCAATGCCAATACCTTATCTGTCAACCTATGCTATTATACAGGTTCATTTGAAAACCTCCCACCACGGATTTATCGGAAACCATTGACCAAAAGAAAAAACGCCGAGACTCGTCATAAGATTTGTCAAGGGGAACGAGTTTTTAACCAAAAATACTTCACCCCCTTTCATCCCCTGCCACATAGGATCATCCCCTTAATAATTTTAATCGACTATCGAGTAGTAATTTGTTTGAAAGGTATTTCGAAGTCCTTTATTTTGACGCTTGATTTTTAAAAATCGGTCGATTCGTTGTCAAGAAAATTAGCAGAATCCTTATTTATCTTAATTTGATCAGATAGAAAACAAAAACACTCGGAAATATCACTTTTTATTTCAATAAGAGTTCAAAATGTTGCCTGGTATTGACCAAACAATGATATAGGCGATGTTCAAATTCCTGACGGACATTTTCAAGAACATGTTGTGGGATATCGTGGCAGCTTTTGATGATGCGTTGACGAACTTCATCCAAACCTTTAGGTTGGGGATTTTGTTTTCAATGGTTTCAGTGACAAACCATCTTGCAAGTAAAATCTGAATCAATAAATTAATTTTCACTATCTCAAGATTGTCACAAAGGTAATTGACACCAAATTAAATTCTTTCTTTCCCCTAGCAACAAATAACTAAACAGGTATAACAGTAAATACGGTTCGGGCAGGATATCTGTGTTGATGAAAAGAATGTGGAAAAAATCGGGTTGCTATTTGGTTGTTGCAAGGTCTCATTTTCCGAATTTCTGTTTATGTTGGTAGTTTCCGTTTTAAATTATAAACGAATTTGGCAAATACTAACGGACACTTATTGAAATAAAAAGTGATATTTACGTGTGTTCTTGTTTTCTGTTTGAATAAATTGAGATCAATAAGGATTCTTCTGATTTCGTCGAAAACGAATACACTGATTTAAAAAAATCGAACGTCAAAATAAAGGACTTCGAAAGACCTTTCAAACAAGCTATTACTTGATACCACGTGCCATTTAAAATTCTTATGGAAATGGCACTGGGGGGGCGAGGGTGAAAGGGGGTTAAAGTTGTCACGTTGATAAATCTGTTGACATGTCTTGCCGTTTTTTCCTTTTAATCAATGGTTTTCGATGAATCCGTAGTAGAAAGTTTTCAAATGAACACCCTGTATATTTTATGGTACTGCTTCAGAGGTGTAAGCCGTAAAAATAAAATACGATAAAGCTGACGTACCATTTGCCTTTATATCTGCCATACCTTATGTTGAACAGTGATTCGAGCTATAATCGTAATATCTCATATCAGAAGCAATATGTCTGTGCAGTAAGTACATGATCATTCTCAGTGAGCTTCTAACCCAAAAATTTTGATGGTAAAATGCAGGAACAGTAACTTGAGCAAAATGACGGCAAAGCGGCCAATTACGTCATTGCGTTGGCGAGGAGGTATTGTAACTGCTGACGATTCAGAAATACAACACGAAAAACAAAATCACTATTTTGGGTCGTCTATACAGGATGGCGCATCGAAAACGAAACAGACGCACTTACTGGCACCTCATTTCCTTTTTGGAAAAACGCT